ATGCAAACCGTTTAGTTTTCGCCATAGATAATTGCGCGGAAAAAATAATATCGTATATTATCAGCATTAGCTTAATAGCATTAGCTAACTGAAAATAATCTTGTTAATTTAGTAATAATATTAATCAAACTGATACCTCGTGATCTTGTTTCAATAAAATATTATTTATTTTATTAATAGATATGGTTATTGAATTAACAGTAAATTTTCCAACAAATCGGTTGAAAGACCGATAAAGTATATAATACAAGATAAATGAAGATACAACAATCAACAGAATCAAGATTATTTTTAGTAAGACTGATATAAGCAGCATTATTACTGATTGCTTGTCTTTTGTGCAGCTTTATCTCTTTTTGTAGTCTCTTTTGTTGTGTCACCGTATTTCAATAAAATTATTATTATTATTATCATCATCATCATCATCATTATTATTGTAATTATTATTATATTATAGTAATATATTATTATTACTGTTAATACATTATTTTTTCGTGTGCAATAAAACATATCCTGCTACAGACATATAGCGTGTCCTAAAACTGACGATAAAAATATGTTAAAATCAGATTCTTTATAATATTTTAAGACGAAACGTCTAATACAAAAATGTCAAGGTTATGTTAGTTTTCAAATAAGAAGAGTTTAAAAATTACGAATGACAGGGCTAGAATTTCGCGCGCTCAAGGATAGCAAGATATGAAGGTGTTTCCTCGAACTTGTACCTTTGACAATAACAAAATTCAGTACTTTTACATCTTGTCATTTCTGAGCGCATGAAAAATTCTAGCCCTGTCATTCGTAATTTTTGAACTCCTTCCACTTGAAAACTATCGCAGTAATTTTGTATTAGACTTATCGTTTTAAAATGTTACAAAAAATCTGTCTTTAAAATATTTATCGTCAGTTCTTGGGGATACCCAAGTATATATACATACAGTAGAAGTGTGTGCACGTAGCAGTGTTTTTGTTCTGTAAAAATTGAGGAAATTGAATTTATTATGCACAGCCAGTACGACTCGTACATCTGGATACTTTTATAGCGCTAGCTACTTCTAACGTTGTGACTCTACATGCCCTGGGTATGACATAAGGTTCCACGGATTGCGGCTCGTTACGCATTCAAATCATTTCCGCGAAATCGGTTATCGTCGGCGGAACTGAAAGTATAGTCGACTCGGTATGTTCCCATGCGACTACAATGTTCATTCTGTTTATCGATATAAGATCGCGCACTTCGTCCCGAGCATTGATTACGAGCGACGTTTGCTCATAATATCTGACGTCATTTACGACAGGAAATAGTGCCTCGTCTCTGATCGGGCATAATTCAATGAAAACCACAATCAGCGATCGAATTGCGAGCTGTCGGCCACCCGCTCATTTCGATCCGCGGAGATAAATAAGTTAAACACCGTGTCTCTCCGTTCTTGGCAATCTCACGTCTCTCTATTTTTATGTGATCGAAGAATCGATTATTGCGCAATCAATGGCTTCGTTCAGCAGAAAAAGCAGCTTTACAACTGTTGTAAAATTCTTTAATATGATTGGTTTATACATTTAGAGAAACTAAGGGCACCCACCAATCATATTAAAGACTCTTACAACCTCGCTTACAACAGTCGCAAAGCTGCTTTTTCTGCTGAATGCAGCCAATGCAATGATACAAATATCCTTTGGAACGATGCTTTTTCTTTTGAGATAGAAAAGTATCCCGCGCTCCGATCGTAACGATAGGTGTATTAAGAGATAATAAGCACTTGCGATCGCAATTACGTCACCGACGACGATTACCGCCTCGACTTATTGCTGATTCCAGTCGAATTAAAAATAAAGGAAAAATAAAAGGAAAGAGATCGTCGCGAGGAACTGTTAGGTGGTAATCTCTGGGATATTTTCACGATGTTTTCCTGTGCAATTAGACGCGGTGGCGCGCGGCGGAGCGGAGAGCAAACAAATCGGAGTACCTGCGAGACAGAACTCGATATTGTCACGATGAGATGTTCGTCGCCGAGTCAGCGAATCGCATCCCGCTTTCCGGTCTCACCGACATTCGTATGAAGAGAGAGAGAGAGAGATATGTATTAGGAATTACACACGTGTACCGTGCCTAAGCTCTCGAAAGACTCGCGAGTGAACGAGCGAGCGAGCGCGCGTGTATGTAATTTTGCCGCGCCGCGACCGGTTGTCGATCAAGCGCTTTCGTAAGAAACACCTGCGAGTCATTATCCCTCGCCTACCTTGGATTTCCCCCGGCGATTCGATTTGTACACGTGCAAAAAGAAAAATCGCTCGCACGCTCCACTCGCCGCTCTAAGCAATAATTAATGTATTGTACGCTAGGAATCTCAGGGATTACGATATGGCAGATTTTGGCAAATCAGTGCCATTGTCCTTTGATCGAGATTCGAAAGAGCGGCTTTCTCCGGTCTTTTTTTTTATCGTTATCCTATGAATATCAGTTCGCAAAAGTTCGAATTCGTAGTAAATGAGCATTTCGCGTTTTTGAAATATATTTATTCTAAAGAGTACAGATGTGAATTTATTCCGTATATATACCTATACACCAACATTTATATGGATTTAAAATCCATGTTAAATCAATATTCTTTCGATGTTTATATCAGCATTAACAGGGTGAGGATTACGTAAACATTGAATAGTATTAAATCCACACATCCATATTTTTTTAGAGTGTACTGGAGGTGCCATGCCAGAGTTGTAGCACACAAAATGCATAAGTATAACGTAGCATGAAACCGTATGGATCAATGAGCACGTTATGTAAATCAATATGACAGCTTTATGCTGGATGCTCATTTATCTTTGCTATGCTCTTTGCTATGCTATACATTTTGTGTGCTATAGCCCTAATTATCGCTGTCTCCATATCTGTCTTTATCTATTTAGATATTTTACTGCGCTGTATCGATTGTCTATAAGTTCCTTAACAGTTTTGAAGTTCTAATATTACAAAGGTATGTATCCCGTAAAGTTAGATAAATGTACACGATTGTCATCTATATAGCAAGCGCATAGATAGATTTCAAATAGACAAGGACAGATGTTGGAACAGTTTTGCTACGTTATTTAAACCGATGGTACTTTTGTGATGTAAGAGAATACCAGATGTAAACATTCTCGTTGCTGTGCAGATGATGTTCAAAGTAATGATGACATTTGTAACCATTCAGAAATTAATCCCAAATTTTATAAATTAATATAAAGCTATTATTAGAAATTTAAAATTGCCACTAATCAGAAACTGGCTCCAAATTATATTTAGCCGTCATTTACATGCAATGTTAAACCTAAACAGAAAGAACGACTTTGCTGAAGTATCTAAAAATTTAGCTATAGATACAAATCTGAAAATAATTTTGTAGGACTATCAAAATGATTAAGTAGGATGCTTAAACTGTGGTTGCAGAATGTTAAAACTTTTGCAGCATTGCATATCGTGGTTGGAATTTTTACGTAATTATTTTGATGGGCCAACAAAATTATTTTCAGATTTGTATTTGTAACTAAATTTTTTTAGATACTTCAATAAAATCGTCCTTTCCATGTAATATTCTTACATCCTGGATACCTTCAGTATACATGTTTTAAAATCGCATCGCGTTTCGCACCTGTAAAAATCAGCGAGATTTTCGGTGCCCGGTCGCGGAAGTGGGAGGCGCATGGCGTAATTATGTAGATGTGACAAATTTCGCGTTGCGAATTTTGCATAGCCTGCGATTCGTGTAATTTGATCATTCTGTTGGCATTTTTCTATCGGAAGGGAGAAGAAGGAGGTTTGATACCGGGTAACATTCTGAACGAGTCTCGAAGTGATATCATAAATCGACGCTCTGGGCATCGACTTTAATCGGCGCAACGGTGTTCGCAATTTGTCATTTTCCCTCTAGTAAACTCGACTCGGTAAAGACTGGAAATAGCGACAGAAATACGTTTCTTGTAGTTCACGCCAGATATTTTAACGCCTTGACACATCGTCGACAAAGTATATCCTCAAATAGACCGCCCTATGTTTGCCACGCTGTTCGCTTGCGGACGACGAATTGCGTCATCGTGCAACACTAGTCGCGCGAATCGAGTAGAAGATAAAACTCTTATAAGCGGAATTTTATGTACACGGAGAGAATTTTCTTTTAAAATTCACCCTGAAAATATGGTAGTTGTGGTATACAATACAATTTTTAAAGATTTTAAAGATTACCATGCACTTCAGTAAAATTGATCAAACTTATTTTATATTATACTTTAATGTAATTTTATTAATGAAAGAAAGAGATTTACATTAAAATTCTTCAAAATACAATGTTGTTCCACGATTGTCATATTTTCAGAGTAAATTCTAAAAAAAAATTCTCTCCGTGTAAAAATTAAATAAAAATATCTTCTTCTGAACTAAAATAATTCATTGCCTAACGACATTCGTTCTCTATATTGGCTGCGTTTAGCAGAGAAAGCAATTTTGCAATTGTTGCAAAAATTCTTTAATATGATTGGTCTTGCCTTTAGTTTCTTATTAAATCTACGCTGTTAAGTATCAAAAGGCCAATAGTAATCTAATTCCTTGAGTTAAATAATATTATGCTATTTTTAATTTTTATACGGAAAAAAGAAAGTAGCTGCTGTAACTAAAAACTGCATGTGGTAATTAAATGACAAGTGTAAAAAATATGGACAACTAAAATATAGATATCATAGCTAATGTCTTAGCTGTGATACCTACATTATAGCAACAATAGCAAACTATTTCACCGTTATAGTTTATTAATTTATAGTTACGGTAGCAAATCTGATGAATGAGCAATTTCTGATGAATTCGGAGTATTCGCGATAAAGTAAAGCGTGCGATGACGACAATTTGCAAGACAAGATCAAAAGTAATAAATAAAAACAAAGCTTTCGCAATTCCGGCGAAAACTTCTCGTGAAACCATAAAGCTATTCTTTACGTCTACCTTTCACCATCGTCACTTTGTGTTTCAGTGGTTTATTGCGACTATACCGCCTCGGGAAGGTCACTACAGTTCCTCGAAGATTACATCGCCAAGGAGGTGCTGCCATGTTTGGGCGACACTCGGGCATCCACGTCCATCTGTAGTCTACAGTCCTCTCTTTTTAGGTAAGCGATAATGGGTTCGAGAAATCCTCGTCCTTCAGAAGAGTAAATGTAGCTTTGCAAAGAGTCGCTTTCGTTGGAATCGTGTGTACGAATTGTACATTTTCGGAAAGAACGGTTTTGTTAAAATATTTAAAAATTCACATACAGATCTGAAAATAATTTTGTTGGATCAAAATTATTATGTAGAACGCTCAAACTGATTGCTAGAATGTCATAACTTTTTGCAACGTTGTTCACCATGCTCAAGTTTCCTATGATTTCCTATATTTTGATAACCCAACAAAATTATTTTTAGATCTGCATCTACATGAATTTTTAGATACTTTAGCAAAATTATTTTATCTGTGTACGAATAGAGAGAAGTCAAGAAGAAACGTTCATTTTATTCTAATTTATTGTGATGAGAATTTAATTCATTTATGAATCCTATCTCATTTTTCTTCTTTTTTTCATTGTAATATTTTTGCGCCATAAATGAAACTTTTCATTCATCCTGTACTGTTTAACTTTTAATTCATGCTCCGTAGGCTCTTGTAGGCTCCACTTTATATTATTGATCGTAATTATTATTTCATTAACGTAATCTAATTTCCCTTTCTCGTCAGTCGATTGCTCGTGAAAGGATCTCATTCTGGCGAATAATAAAACGTTCTCTCGTTTACTCTCATCCGTTCACTCGCTCACTTATTCAAGCTATAAATTAATCTTATTCATATTTCATTTCAATGTAACTGGGACACTGCGGTATTGTCGATATGCGAATTTTCATCCGCGTGTTCTCGCATTAATTTTTGTATGCAAATTGCGTTAGGCGCAGCGTTCATGTTTTGACTTGTCTGAGACGAGAAACACTCGCTCCTCTCGCCGACGCGTCTGCTATTAAATCGAGTTATCGTCTGTCGCGATTTCTAATTCGACATTCCACGTCCGATAAGCAACGAGTTACGAGTCGCGACAGCGAGTCTGCCCGCGTCTGTCGTTTTGCTCGCGTTATATTGTTTCGAAAGATACCCGCTGGAAACTTTCTCGGTCGCAACATAAATTTAATCGGCGTCCCGATTAAAAAATCGCTTAATGATGAAGTACTCATCGTCTAAGCGTTATCATCAGCGTTATCGCCGACGACAACGACTTTCGAAAGAAAACGTAAACCGGATCGCTTTTAAATCTTACCCGACTAGAGGGCCTAGTTCTGCAACTTACAATTAACTCTTAACCGAAATTCAACTTATTCCTCATCTCTTTTCAATTTTGGAATTGGAAAGAGATAAGGAATAAATTTAACTAATATGTAACAAAAATTTTTTTTATAATAATTAGAGGCATTTTTGAAGCCTTTTACAGTGAAAAAATAATTTTACTCTATGTCTGGATATGCTTCGATCCACTTGCGGCGGCGCGAAGAAAAACATGGACCGGATCGCTTTAAATCTCTCTCGATCGAGTGGCAGTGGCGAGGGGTGCACGAAACGGTTTCGATTCCTCCGTTTTGTTCCTTTACGCTGACGTCCCAGATCAATATTCATTCCTTTTCCCCTGGAAATCGTGATGCTTACTCAATGGTCCTCGAAAAAATCGCGATAATGATAATGATGTACATGATGGTCTCATCATTGCGACGGATGACACATTCAGAGGCCGTGTGTACGCAATAAATTACCGTGACCCGCAATTTCAATCTCTCTCTGTCTCATCAATTTGCTGATATTGTTTATCTCCATTGGGGGACAGCAGCATCGTTTGAGACGTATATCGCTTTCATTTCATAATTTATTATGCAGCTTGTATATAGCGGAGCGTGACATTCAATCGCAACCCAGAATTCATTTATGTTTATACTGCCGATCAAAAGAGAGTTTCAGAGACCACATATAAAATTTAAGAAAATTCCGTAAAACATTACTTAAAAGTTCGATTTATGCCTTGCTCAACATTTTTTTAATTTGAAAGTAAATAGGGATATTTATAATTGTGATGAACATTGTTTGACTTCAAGAAAGTAGGTTACAATCAGAAAGTTGTTTTTTCCTAAATTGCGTTATTAAATTATTTTAGAAGAAGGAAAAAGATGTGGAAAAGTCGTTCAGAAAAAATAAATAAATTTGTAGTTAAATTATCGAGATTATTAAAAGAAAAAAACGATTAAATATAAGAATGACTATTTTAACGAAAAAAGTATTTAATATTCTTTATTACTTTTCTGGTAAAAAAGATTTTGGAAGAAATATTTTATATAAAATTTTCAAATATTTATATTATTGTTTATTTTATCATAAAACAATGAACCAAATAATAAAAACATGTTAAATTATGAGTTTGATTTGGTTTCATATAGTAGATATTTTCTAAAATGGCCTACTTTAGTTATTATAATTTAAAAGAAAATTGAACAGTCACATAAAGCTTTTTTTCTAAAACTGAGCTGGATTATTTTAGAAGATGAATGAAAGAGTCTTAAAAAATTAATAAACTTGTAACTAGATTACCTAGTAAAAAAGTAATTAAACGTAAGAGTGATTACTTTAATTAATGAAGAAAATATCTTATAAAAAATATTTTCTGTAAAATTTTCGAATTATTTCATATTATTTTTCATTTTATTATAAAATAATGAACAAAGTATTAAAAACATCTTAAATTATAATATATAAATTTGTTTTTATTTCACATAGTAGACAATTTTCAATTAATGATTTCAAACCTTTGACCTGCGTGTATACAGCTTTGTCTTATTTATAGAATATTAATATTCTATAAATTCCCCGTAAATATTAAATAAAAAGAGATATCAATCGGGTAAATGTTCCATGTTGTACGACGAGGTACTTAAATTAACAATTGAGAAATTAACATAATTAACTTTCTTGAGTGACGCGCTGTCGCAATGCTGTTCGAATCCTCGTTAATTATGATTACCGTGTACTGCGAAATCGATGGAGACTACAAACTGTAAGGTGTGCATCGCTCTCCTCGACCTATGTCTCTTGTCTCACGACACGTCATACGCTGCTAAATCCATATTGACTCTGTGTCAGTCGGCCGAGTCAAACGAACTTACACGTGTCGCAGCTGCTCATGAATACCTGGAGGTGTCCGATACATACAGCTTTATTATCGTGAATCAGCGGCCACGTTATTCACGTATTTCTAATTTATAACGGAAGTACTATCTCGTTGTCAACACCTTCTTCTTCTAAGAAGAAGAATTCTATTTCTAAAACCTATCAACTATGCTATCAGGAACTATTACGAGTGTAAATAGAAGTTGCATCAAAATTTACGGTGCGAAAAGATGAAGAGCCAACTTCACACACGTAAGAAAGATCGCGCCAACGGACTCTTGGCTGGTGTTCATAATTGATTCTTATATTTAAGACTGTCTTAAGTATAGTCTTAAGGTGTCATGAACCAATCAAAGAGCCTCATTTTAGTATCTTAAGACATTACTTAACTTCTTCAGACCTGATTTTATTGGAAGCATGTTAAAAAAATGTTTTTTAATTCAATTTATGCACACTAATAAGTAGGTAATTCATATTAAACAATTAATTTTTTTTTAATTTTGACTATTTTTCTGACATATACATTATTGCGTGCATCAGATCTCAGATGATGTCGATAGAATTAAATAATTTCAACATATAATATCTTGATGTACATTACAATGAACGCAGAGTCTGAAAGGGTTAAGACAGTCTTAAAATAAGAACTGACTTATTACCGACCTTTATCGCCAATTTCACGAAGGTCAGTTCCATACATTTGCGTTCGTTTATTGTTGCAGGTATGAGGCCAGAGACATCGTCAGGCACGCGGTCGGGGCTAGCGAACAGGATGCAGTCCTGTTCACCGGTCAAGGCACCGCCGCTGCCCTTCGCACACTTTTACGGCATCTCGATCTTTCCAAGTCCACCGTAGTCTTCGTAGGCCCGTTCGAGCATCATGCCAACCTAAGGCCTTGGCGCGAGCTCGATGTCAAGGTAAGCGGACGGTCGGCAGATAAATTTGCGTGGAAAAGCCGTGCGGCTGATTCGAGCGCCGGATAAGCATGGGCGGGCAGTAAAATGCAGCGACGGCGAAGTGGATCGTTAAAGCGGGCCGTGATGGCCGTAGGAGATGCGTGAAGAGAGATTCGTACGGTATACGCAACAAACGCGGCGTAGCTAGCCCGAATTTTGGCAGCGTGCCGAATATCGTTTTGCGCGAGCGACCATTCCACCTACTCATCGCGACCCTGATATGCGTCACTTCTTCTATTATCTAATATCTTTTAAAGGTCAAACAATTTAATCGTTAATTAATCCTTAGTTAAGATAATCCTTATTTTAGAAAATGGATGAAATTCTTTCGTAAAAAATAAATGATTTTATAGATAGATCATCGAGTATAAAAAATGATTAAACGTAAGAGTTGCTACTTTTACGCAGAGAGTATCTTGTAAAAATATTTTCTGTAAAAAACTTTCAAATATTTTATATTGCTTTTTATTTCATTATAAAACAATAAACAAAGTTAATAAACATACTTTAAATCACTCCCATCTTAAAAAAGAGTGGCTTAATTTTCATTCTTTAAAAATAAGATTTCACTCTTCACACACACACAGAGTGAGATTTACTTCAAAAGTTTTAGAGAATATTTTCTTTAATTTTTTTTATAATGCATAATTTTACACTCTCTAAAGGTATTGAAATATATGTAAGAATTATTTAATAATTTTTGTAAACTTATAAAAGTGATGAAAATTAATTGAAACATGGACAGTCATTACGTGTATAGTATACCGGAAAATCATCGTGTGTCTACCAAGGATTAATTAATTTGTTATAAAATATAAATGATATTTCTGTATTTACAAATGTTTTTATTTTGTAACAAATACGTATCTTCAAATATAACACAAGCGGTTGGACATTGACTTCGAAGAATTCGTCTCTAATAAATTTCGTGGAGGCCTTGAGACATTCCGTATAAATATTTTCAAGGCGCACTATAATCCACAAAAATGACCCTCAATCTAGAATAGTCGGGGATTGACGCTTGATTGTTTACAGTCGTCTAATTGCAGACACGCTCATCGTCGAGCCCACTGTCGAGCGGCGAGTCCTTTGATAGAGCAATTAAACTGTCTTTACAGATAATACGAGTTTCCGAGACTCGGGAGGGCTTCTTGGATCTGAATGATCTCGAACGGGGCCTCGCAAGAATACGGAGCGAGGGCGTTGCGCAAATGATCGGATGCTTCAGCGCTGCCAGTTGTATAACGGGGGTTTTGGCAGATGACGTCGCGACGACCCTCCTGCTGCATCAATACGGCGCACTTAGCGTGTGGGATTACACCACCGCAGGTAATGATCGACACAAAATCAGTCGCTAACCGATCCAACCGGCCATAATCAATTACCATAATAATTTTCAAGCATGGAAAGCATATGGAAAGAACAGTTTTGCTGATATATCTAAAAATTTAGTTAAATATAGATCTGAATCTGAAAATATAATTTTTTGTTTGGACCATTAAAATAATTATGTACACACAAAAAAATACATACTGCAAGTAATGATTATTTGTTTCAAATAATTTAAAAGTTCATATATCCGCAAATCTATTATAAGAGTTCATCACAAGCATTAAATTTATTTAAAATGTATTCTGAATCCTAGTAAGTTTAATATTTCAGTCAGGATTATTAAATTAAAACAAATTCGATTTGCTTATTATAGGTATAAAGTCGCTTTTTCTCAATCAATTTTATAACATTTTTCAAAAGAAAATAATTTCTATTTTTATTTTGGGTATATAATGAGTTTTTCTAGAATTTGTAATAAGTACAGCTTAAGATTGTTATTATAAAAATATTCTTTGTTAAAGATAATCGTTACTTAAAAGGAAGAAAGTAAATTGAGTAATCAAATTCTCTTGTAACAGAGTGATATTTTTCTGTGTGTAACTCAAACTGATTGCTAAAATGTTAAAATTTTTTTGCAGCATTACTCATCATATTTGAGTTTTCTACATAATTATTTTGATAGTTTGACAAAATTATTTTCAGATCTGCATCTATTTAAATTTTTAGATATTTCAAAAATTATTCTTTCCATGTAAAATAAATAAAAAAAATGAGCTGCTAATTAATCTTTCATTACGTGCGTGAGGTATCTAGAACGACCAGAACGCTATTTATACACATTATTATATTTAGCGTAAATTATTTCACAATTATAATAAAAAAATTTTTTCTACGTTTATCTTTATCTAAAGCATGTATAAAATATTATTAATCTTTATTTAATTATAAATTACCAAGAGAATTATGAAAATTGAGATATAATGTGTCAGTAACATTTCGCGCGAATAATTATTTAAAAAAAAATCACGTGGGTGTGTAATATTGAATTAATTCATAGTCATATAAAAACTTTATTAATTATACTCATTATTTATACCAAAAAATTAAATAGTTGTAATATACACTATAATTTTTCTGCATTGCACTGGTTCTGCTGAAGATTTTTAGTTACTGGCTTTAATATGTGCCAAGCGAATTACGTGTCTCACTTTGTGTGATGCACGTAAAATAAATATCTTCGTAACAAAGATGACTTAAGTATTATTGATGCTATAATACTAAAATCCTTTACATAAGCGCTCGAACGTTATGTAAATGGACAGATGATAAACGGTTGAGTATCAGAGATAGAAGGCACGACGCCACGATGTTATCAATGTTGTTTTTTCAGCTCCGTACGTCCCGATCGACATGAATCCGCATCTACCCGGAGTCGAAAAGACCGCGGTGCACAAGGACGCGATTATCTTCGCGGGCCACAAATTCATTGGCGGCGTACAATCGCCCGGTATATTGGTGACCAAACGATGGCTCCTGCGGGAGGACGTCGAGCCGGAGGACATGAGAGACTCCCATTACTATCACCGTGATCCTGAGTTGCGGGGCGAGAGCGGAACCGCCGGTGTAGTCGAGAGCATCCGATGCGGATTAGCGGTCCAGCTGAAGGAGAACGTCACGCCGAGGGCGATCGTCGCGCGGCAGGACAAGATCTCTCGGTGAGCGCACTTCTTTTCAAGGCGAAGAAACCGCGCTTCGATTATATTAATTACGACGAAAGACCCCATATCAGAGTCTCGCGATTTTGGCAAAATCCTATGATAGAGAAAGATATATGTACTCTTTAAATTCTTTGAAGTGGAATCTCACTTTGAAGGATAAAAATTGAGTCAATCTTGGAAAAGAGTAGCTCAATTTTCAATCTTTAAAAGTGAGAATTCATTCTTCAAAATAACACTCTAAAAGTTTTAGAAAATACTTACTGCTTCCCTGTATACATACATCTTAATCTATTATAACTTACACTGTCTTATTGTATAATCTTAATTGAAGTTATATATTACAGTAAGACAGTATTAAGATTATACAGTAAAACAAAGTATAAAAGGGCCGTCTATACAATGGAGGAAGTAAGCCGTAAATTATAAGAAATCGACTATCACAGAATGTGAGGAGAATATAATTGATTATGATTGATCAATTTTTTACTCACGATTCTTTAGTGTAGACAACTCTTAAGTTGTAAGATAGTACACATATAGAGAGATAATATACTTTCTTTCTCATAAGATTTTAACAAAATCGCTCGTGATTAGACTCTCTGTTATGGAGTCTTTAATTATATCCGAAACAGTGATCGCGTCACGTAAAGTGACTCTTAGACGCTCAATATTTTTGTACAATTACTTTATATAATTTAATATTTAAACAATATTTAAACAATTTAAAACAAACAGTCTGGAGGTTCAATATACTGTCTAGAGATGATCAGTAATATTATGTAATAATATTGATGGCCTATAGGGGCCGCTTAAGAATTGTGTAAGGTATCTTTCCCACGTCTTTTCTCATCATCCAGGAAACAAATATGATCGTTTCGAGTAATTTCTTACCGTGAATGCCTTTCTATTTACGAGTGCTGATTCATACAAAGCGTTAGAGCTCTATTTGGGGCTTTTTTTTATCAGCGAATCGTAATTTTCCTTCGGATTAACTTTGTACGAATTCACTTGCGATTACGCGAGTACAATTTCGCCGATCGTATTACACACGCAATTGAGATGAGATCTCTGATACGTAGATCCATATAGTTGCAATAGTTCAACGCGATACTAATGATCATCGCTTTCTCTTCAGGCAAGTCTTGGCCCACGTGCGCACGATTCCGGAATTGATCCTACTCGGCAATTCCTCGCACAACGTGAAACGACTGCCCATCTTCTCGTTTATGGTGCGCCATCCTCGCGGCACGTTCCTCCACCATAATTTCGTCTGCGCTGTCCTGAATGACGTCTTCGGTATCCAGGCACGAGGAGGATGCGCGTGCACGGGTCGTTACGCCCATCATCTAATGGGGATCGACCGTGAACTCGCCAAGAAATACGAAAGCATCCTCTTGGAAGGGTATATACTTCTTTTATTATATTTAGATCAAGACTGAAAACTGTTTTCGATAAAGTTTATTTATCGCGAAATGTAGATATATTCGATATCGAGGTGATTAGAATAATTTTTATTTAAAGAGTTATTTTAAATTTGTTGCTTTATAAAATGATTCTAAATTAAATGTCGATACTTCAGAAGATAAATCTCAAGAGCTCAAAAAAAGAAAAAAACATCTTATAGGAATATAAATCGTTTAAATCTTATCTTTCAAATGATAATATATAATTGTTTAAAAGAAATGCTCAAATCGCCTCCGATATATTTCTATTTACGTTCTACGTTGTGATTAAGTTATAAAAAAACTTAATGAAATCGATAAATTAAAAAAATGTTTTTATTATTCATAGAATGATCCAATATTAAATAATTATTATTATCTTGTATGTTTTCGATTTAATTGATTTTAAGTATAAAAAGAGAAAATATCCGTCAAACAAAAGTCTCCATTTGATGTCGATTATATCTTACATCAACATTTCTATTATCATAAATAATGTAGATGAGATTCAACAAAATCTGATTTCATTCAAATTATAATATCTTAATTACTTCATCGCTTCGCACAAAACAATATTGTCATCCGTGCGAAAGATGATTACGTACATCGCACAGATCAGTAGAGCAGAAAGTAGTCGTCTATTAAACTCAACGCGGTATAATTTCGCATACTAGACACATGCCTAGAAATAGACGTTACGTCAGCTTTCGGTCTCAACTTGATGTAGGATTCTATTTTTATAAAAGTACAGTGCATGCAGATTGTATATAATTTATTTTATTTCAGACAACAGAACGGTACCGAGGAGACCATCGCGGAAAGTCTCAGACCGGGCTTTGCTAGACTGTCCTTCCCTTACTTTATGAATGAGACAGAAATTGCCTTTGTACTGGAAGCTCTTAAGATGGTAGCCACCGAAGGCTGGAAGCTGTTGCCGCAGTACGTATTGAATCCCGATACTGGCGAATGGCGACATCACACCAACAGCGTCTTCAAGGAACGTAAATGGCTGGGTTCGATCAGATATACGGACGGAAGAATGAATGCCACGGAGAGACGAGCTTCCGGCGCCGGCGTCTTCCCACAGAACTACGGTGACTGCCTGCAGACTGCCCGAAACATCTTCAATCGTGCTCGTAAAATGGCACAGCGATATCCGTTGCAGATCGACAAGAGTTTCAACTTTATGTGCGAGCGTATGGAAGCATTGCGCTGGTTCATACTGCCGAGCGAGGCACAGGATCTGCTTTTGGGTAACTCGCAGAACGTCAAGCAAGACGTGCCATTCAATCCCTTGCTGGCCTGGAACAAGTACAATACGAGCACCGTCACCACCAGTCACGATAGTCTAGTAAACTGCCTGACGCTGACGAATGGCATGAGACGACTGAATAGCGACATTCCGCGTACAGGCAACGCACCCATCTCGACGACCTCACCGAGGCATCGAAGCTTACCGGCGTTAAGCACGGTTCAGCGAACTCTGATGGCGACCAAGACAGAACTAAACCAACCATCATCATCGAGCAACAGCGAGGAGGAGAGTCCAAATCAAAATGAACACTTCTCTGGACACCGATCACCCGCCACATGTCCAAACTCACCAATGCCAGTTAGATTCATGGTGGGCGAGGCCGTCACTACCTCGGTCCTGGGATCTACATCTCGCACGACCGTTCGAACGACGAAAGAGCAGAGGGAACTAATGGAGGCAACCAATGCCGGGCGAGCGAGATGCAATTCTCTGGGTAGCACCACCGATGGATGTAACATACAGGGAAATCGCACTGGTGCCGCAACGGCATCCTCGCCGATCCCGCCGCTTCCACTGAGCCCGCAAACTCTGACCAGCTTGGGACTGAGCACGTCGAACGGTTCGTCGAAACAGAGACGTCTTCACTGCAGCTGCAGTAGTCAAACGGAGTTAAACTCTTTAGAATTGGATTCTGCCGCCAGTCCGAGTCACTCGATCTCTTCCCTGAACTATAATCATAATCCGGCATCGCCGCCGTCTTCGTACTCGTCGACCAGCGATTACACCGAGAGGTTGATAGGTGGTGGCAGATCTTCGCCTATTTCGACGAATATGGGTCAGGATGATTTAAGCGCGTACGTGAAGGAAATGACCAAGGAATTAGCGACTGAAATCAAATCGGAGATCCGCGAAGTGATTTCTAAAGTAGATGACGCTTTATCGGAAACAAATACGTCTGAGAACACGCCGCAGCATCACTCGCGGGCTCAGAGTATAGTTAATCAAACATGTGTGGAGGATAAGCAGTCGAGGCATGACTCGTTCACGGCCAGTGACATCGCCGAATACTTAATGGAATTCTCGAAGGAAATGGCGAGCGAAGTGAAATCTGAGATACGGTAATTTATTATTATTAATACAATCTCGATAAAAAATTTTTTATACATTAATATGTATAAATATGTATAAACATACATAAATATTCATAATCATATATAATTATACATGAAATATGTCCATACATCTTTCTTTTGTAAAATTACTTTTTAGTGTACTAAAAATAATAATAATATTGAAAAAACATCAAAAATAGTTAATGGGACTATTTTCGCATTGTTTGTCTTAGAAAAAATCAAAGTTTGGAAAAATGTAAAAAAATTTGCTCTTACATAATTATGTATAATTTTATATGCAACTATATATGAACAATTTTTTTACATTTTTTCAAATTTGATTTTTTCTAAAACAAACAACGCGAAAATTTTCCTTTTAATTATTTTTGATGTTTTCTCATTATTATTATTATTTTTAGTATACTAAAAAGTAATTTTACAAACTAAAGAAGGATGTATAAACATGTATGGACATATCTCATATATAATTATATATATTTATGAATATTTATACATGTTTATGTATGTTTATACATATTTATATATATTCATGCATGAAAAATTTTTTACCGGAATATCATAAATTAAAATATGAATATCAAGTACGATCAATCAAAATACAATAATTTTTAATAGAAATAGAATTAATGATATCTCTCATTTTTAAAGTGGTCACATTTATGTGAACTTTTTCAACAGATGCATGGTGAACGCCGTTGACGGACTTCACAGGTACTCGCCCGACGTATCCACTTCGGACGTTTCTTCGAACGGATGTGGTTCGCCCGATCGTGGAAGAATCGTGCTTCCCTCGTCAGCATCTCCGCGCCTTTCTGGCTCTAGAAAAAGTGGGCCGCTCGAGATCACCAGCAAGATTGGCGAACTGTCACAACAAGAGAGCAAAATGTCCAGCGAATGCTCCTCGGACGAGACTGTGATTTACGTGATGAAGCCGTCTGAAAGCGAGCAGATAGTGCGCACTCGTTCGAAAACTGAGGACGAGGAGGTGGAGAATGACGTGGATGACTATGTGGATGATGATTCACAGGAAGGACGCGGTGGCCTTGACATCGGTGACGCTCGGAAGGTCTTGCCAAAGATTTATTCGGCCGTGAATTCGGTCAGCTCCCAGGATAGTGGCATAAATATGTCCTTTCAAGAGAGTGACAAATCGATAGACTCGTTGGATCTGAAACGAAGCAGCAGCGCCGAATCCAACTCCGCTCACAGTTACGGGCGAAAACCCAGAACATCATCAATGATGAGTCTGTCGACTAAGTGCGGCGGTAAGCAGCAAGCGCGTCAAAACGACAATCTATCGGAAGACGAGGAATGCACAGGCGATCTGCGAGAGGAGGAGGGCGACGGTCAGGAGAATAATTTTGATGACAACGAGTCCAGATTGGAATTCCTACGAACTCAATGGCACTGCCCACCGAAGAACATGTGGAAACCTTCGGTGGAAGCTATGCAAGAATTCGATATGATTCGGGACAATGACAAGGTCTTAGTCTGCCTGTCAGCGATCGGCAAAGACTCGCTTTCCCTTCTACATACTCTACATCAATACAGATTTTACGTTAGATCGAAGGGAATCGATTTTGAAATCGGTGCGGCCACAATCGACACTGGTGGCTCCGATCCCATAGAACTAATGAGTTATTTGAAGACTCTGGAGATTCCCTACTTTTATGAGGAACAGATGACGAACTCGAACAGTGTCAATGTCGACAATCCATTGGACGCTAGCATTGCCAGTGGGACTTGCAGTTTCTGCGACAAATCGGTCAGGACGCAATTGTACTCTTTGGCGAAACGAAATGGATATAACGTACTAGCGCTCGGTCAACATTTGGACGATCTCACGGAAAGCTTCCTTATTTCGGTACTTCATGGTGGCGTGTTGAAAACTATGAAAGCACACTACTACATACGTCGGGAGGATCTCAGGGTTATCAGACCATTCATCTACGTGCGAGAGAAGGCATTGAGACAATTCACCGAGAGCAAGAAGTTGCTTATCTTGCGAGATTCGCAAACTCTGTCTGAGGTAAAATCTACATCTCAAAGATCGTAGAATTTTTTTTCAAAGCTGATTGTTAAGCTACATCTACTTTGCAATTATTAAGAAATTAACTTTCTTATTTGTTTGTAAGATACATTCTTATCGATTTTCTCTTATATCATATATTACAGAAACAAAACAGAAGGAAGGAACTTATGCTCCAACAAGAACGCGCGTATCCGCGACTACATTGGTCCGTGCGCACGGCTCTACGGCCCTTGATAACTGCCCACGGACAAATTACTACCTTTGATTTGGCCTGCAGCGGTACCGGCGGCAATAGTCCAAGTGGCAGCACCAGTAGTAGCATAAGCAGTACTTGTAGCAGCAACAGCGGCGGCAACAACACCAGTAATCAGCAGAAACGACACCGGCGGATCAAAAATCCCTCGGCGAGCACTGCTTCGTCCCAACAAACTGACGAGAATGACGAGACCGACGAGGAGCCTGTACTTTGAGGAGGACCCATCGCGAGATGGGATCCCGATTGTCCTGCGGTCCCATCTTCGCGTCTTCGTCGCCGGCGTCCGATGTCGACATTCGCTCTCGTTAGACGAAGACGATTGCGCTTTGCAGCCGTAGGCGCCGCTACCAGGGCAAACGATCAGAGATCTGCCGAGAATGGCAACTGAGCTACAATTGCGAGCGGCATTTAAATGCAGAAGACTTTGCGAGGGATATTCCTCAAGAATTGCTCGTGTCTCTGAATGTTACTCGCGAGTGTATCCGTCGCTCATCGTTAGATCTTAACGATATATTCAATGGTCTTGAAAAGTACCCACGTGATATCGTCACAGTGAATAATTGTCGACTATTTGATGAAAACGTGACTGTTATTGAATTGTCGTGATCTTGGGTACAATTGCTTTCTGCAGCTCGATGGACGTTTTTAAAGGAGAATAGGCGCGATCAGCAAAATGTTATTTACTTTAAGGGACGATGTAAGCGTAAATTCTCTGAGCTTACGACGGAATGTTTGATTGTGAATAGTTAGGTGTGTTGGCAGCTGATTGCGCGATTGTCTGTTTTACGCCAAGATGCAACATAATTGGTAATTGATAATTGATCGACGAGTTGATATAGGACAGAATAGTGCATTGCGCCGTTACATTGTAACGTCGATTGTGGATTATATCATCGATACGGAATGATAAACGGACCGTTGCTGATGCGTGTATACGAAGGGACGCGATACGCTTGAGAGACGCGATAAGCGATAGCCGCTTAAACACTGACACAGGTATTATGTGTTACGTATCTTAGAGAAGTCATGCAGCGAGGGGAACGGAAGACAGTTTCACGAGCAAGCCAAAAACCTCGCGAAGAAGGCTCGAGTCGCGCGAATATACCTTTTTTTTATACATATACAATTATACTTTTTATTTGATATACTGCCTTTGGCGTCTAACACTTAGATCACTGAATCGCGATCAAGAAGTTTTGTAAGCGATCAAGGCTATTTTGATCGAGGCCTTTTCTATGCGTTTTTGACTTCCCCGACAATACGACTTGACAATAGATCCATTTTTTGCGGTCAAATAAATGTGTCTTTTAGATGGTCTGTCGGGAACGTCATCTCGGGCGAATTGAAATAACGGCACGATTTATCGTTACGTTATTTATTGTATCGGTCAAATTAAACCGATTAGAAGCATGGTCGAACATTTCGTTTTGAGAGGACCATATCGAAAGGTAAAGGCTGCAATGAACCGTTACCTGCATGAACTTCTATTTAAGAGAAAGGGAGGCACCCACACGACGCGTAAAGGATTAACGCTTCTCATGGATAGAGCGTATCAAGACGGATTTGTGTGAGACTTAAATATTCCCAAGCAACACATACAGATCCATTAAGACATCTGAGAAGTGACTAGGCACGTCTGAGATATAGTAAATGTCTCGTTTCCCGCGTTAATGGGATAAGTGCGAGAGAGGCTTGTAATAAAAACATTAATTTAAGGATTTGTTGGAAGAAACAAGTTTTTCGTTTCTATCTGACAAATATTTGAACAGCGATCTCCGATATTTCAGACCACAAAATGTAGATTCTCTCCTCTTAACTGGCATTGTCGAAGACACAGCGATATAATAAAGCTACGCTTTTTTTCACCGTAATTTTGTTTATGCAGCACGATTTGTGTTGTGATCAATAAATTTAGTTTCGATACAAGAAGAATTAACGATGTCAGGTAATGAACGAGATAAGAATTGCAGATAAGAATCCGATTACATCGCCAGTTTATTTAAGTATATAATAATGATGAATCATCGTGCAACGGGATCAATAAAAAAAATTAAATAAAAATTCTAGTAGAATAATAACGCCAAATTTTCGGTATAAAAGATCAAATTGTATTTTACTACATCGAAGATGTATAAATTTATTATCTCTGATCTTTGGCGGAAGATAACGAAGACTTGAGTCCGATCGGATTGATAGTCTAGTACTCAATTAATCCTAGAATCGTGGTCCTTTTCTATTATAATTATGCTTATCGAAGATAGGCATGGCGATGAAATCAAATTAATCCAGATTAATCCACTAATCATCGATTCACCGTGACTTTGATCATGCAACGAAATACATAATATTGTACAGACAGGATTCTGGTAAGAATTATTTTGTAAGATAGAATTGTAATAAAAAGTAGATAAAGATGAAGGATAGATAATGTTACGGTGGAAAAAGGAGGTGCACACAATTGGATTGTAAACGCCAGTTGATGAGAGATAGTCAGCCGAATGACATAAAGGATCTTAAAAAAAAGAGGACAGTCTGAGAAAAAATATCAAAATTTGCGAAGGGAAAATATGTAAGCCAATAGGCCCCAATCGCTATGTCGATTACAATATTTGTAGCAGCAGCGATCTTATGTTGTTCACTTATTCTCTCATGTTTGGCTGTTGTACGCTCGCTAATCGTTAGTACTGTAAGTAACGTTTAAGACTTGTACGTAGATCGCATGTGAAACAACGTACGCAACGTAGACGATGATCATTATAAAATATTTACGCTATGTACGTACCGTTCGCGTCGTACTGATTTTTTTAAAATGTTCGTTCGTTCGTTCATTCGTTCATCGTTAAGTCGAGAATGCGAGAGGCGGAAATTAACAACCAAATGCGACAAGCGAGATGGAAATTTTGATCTACACGAATCTTTGCGAATAGATATTCTCATATTTTCCGAGAATGGGACATTGTTACTGTAAAGATATGTAAGTTTATTTATCTCTAATAAAAATGAACGTTGAAGAAAAAAATGGAAAAATATATGAAGAAGACGAAAAGATTTCATTCTTTCTAATTAATAATTTTTAGTAAATAATGTCACAAATAAAACTGCGAGAATTTCAATATTTAGAGGAATAGAGGAAATCTATCGGCAACTCGGTCAAACTAATCGATAAATTGAGTATGCAATAAAGCAAGAATAGAGAACGGAAACCTTGAAAGATATGTCATATTAATTAACTGTTAAAGTGTAACTGTAAATTTAAATCAATTTCTCAAATAATATTGTTATTTGTTATTTTAACTTCCAGGTATAATATCAAAATGTATTATTTTAATATAAAATGTGGTTAAAAATTGCACAACCATATTGCACATCTAATCATTTTTATAGTTGAATTGTTTAGTTTCATCAAAATAAACAGTGTTCGGACTGACATATACACTTAGTAAATAATGAATTAAATTTGAGTTAAATTTAATACACTTCTTGAGTTAAATTGTTTGACTTTATTATGTTAAATTAATGACATATTGAGTAAGAGTTGCACTGGCGACTTATAAAAATGATTAAAAATAATTCAAATTGAATATAATTTAATACTATAAACTTTTAAAAATGATGAATGTAATACTTCAGAATCAATCGAATCAACGTTGTCCATAAAAATGCGAGAATTTCAATGTTCGTTTTCAATACATGGTACTTGAAGATTAAAGGTTACCAGATGCACCAGTAAAATTTATTCATGAATTTCTCGGTAACCTTTAATCTTTAGATAACAATATACTGTAAAAACAGGCTTTAGAGAGATAGGAAATCTGTCAGCAACTTGATTAAACGAATCGAAAAATCAGCAATCGATAGAGTACACGATTGAACAGGAATAGAGAAATCTTGAACGACGTTTGATATTAATAGACAAAATACTTTACAAGGAAAAAAATAATGAAATATCTAAAAATATAACAAGCTATATAAGTCTAAAAATAATTTTGTTACATAATATTTTGATAGATCATTTCGCATAATTATTTCGATAGATAAAATTATTTTTACACTTGTATCAGTTAAATTTTTAGACATTTAAGCAAAACTGTGTTTTTTACATGGAGGATATTAGAAGAACAGGAAGTTAAATAAACAGCCAAAGTTATATATTTTTTAGCGATTTATTAAATCCTTTAAAATATTTGAAACAGCGTGCGGCTTTGTTATTGGCGTAACAGTGATATAGTCGTTTAAGGTACATAATACGAGGAGGGCAAAGCGAGCGAAGATCGATGTAAAGTCCGCCCGCCGGTCGCCGGATTAATTTCAGACGAAAGGAATCGTGGCAGATCCATCGATTCGGCACGGTAATCGCGAATCGTCGGGATTGAGCGAGCGATCCTTCGGTCTTTCTTTTCCCTTCCCTCGGCGACGCGCCATCGCGACGCATGTATGATCGGCGCGATCCGCGGAGAAGTTGCGGTGCGTCCGTTCCTCTTAAGATTAACTTTAAATAGAATGTAACGTTATCTAGTTTATTAGACGAGAGTAAAATCGAGGAAAAAAGTCCACATACGAGACGGAATTCAATTACGGTCTATTCGATCTTACATCTTAAAGTCTGCCCAGTGAGGCATCGAGAGACTCGGAAGAGAGTATTAGTCGGTATATATAGAAGCCACGTCTACCTCCGGATATCAAGAACATGTGCGAAATGAATTAGATTTATTTCTCAATCAATGAGAATTACTTATTTCTCAATCAGTTTCTCGCACTTGATGCTCATTCCTTACGAAAATTTAATATTGGAATTAATTACTTATACTGAAAAAAAAAACTAAATTTCAATAAATATTTGTTTAAATAGTTCTAAGTAAATATTTACTAAATATAAACATATATTTATTTAATACAAAAAAATCATTAATTTGATTTAACTACCATTTTTTTTATTGAGTAAATATTTACTTACTGAAAATAAATGTTTGCTTAGTACTATTCAAAGAAATATGTATTAAGATTTGGTAATTTTTCAGTGTATTTTAGATATTAAAAGCACTGAACAATGCTTTGAATACTCAAAATAAATAATTTTCAATATTAAATTGACCAATATTAAATTGAATTTTTGCAAGGAGTCTTCAGGAATCGAAATTGAAATCTCCACGTCTTCCGCGTTGCGTGGAATGTCGCGGTATCATCGGAGGAACAGGGGCTTCACTTTCCGAATAACTTCCATTTTCCGAGATAAAAGTCATATAGTCGACTGCTGATGATTTATCCGGCGTTTTCGCGAATTTATGGCTCGTCGCCAGAAGCCCTTATCATTCTATCCAGCGCGGCGAAAATTCGCCAAGCTCATTACCAAACTGTCTCATAATTATCTCATGTAATTATCTCAATTATCTGATTATCGCTATCTTCTTAAGCGTGCCAACGAAAGAATCACTCCTCGTAGTCTTGTATTTTATTTTTGCATATTTATTTGATTTATATTGCAACTGGAAATTTTTGTTTCATCAGGGCAACTGGAATTTTTTATTTTATTTTTAAGGAAACCAATCTTTTTCCGAACAAATTTTTCAATCTATGTAAACTATTTGGGTTAAAGTCATTGAATTCGCGCATAGAGAGTCACAGGTACAATTTTTAGAATTAGATACGGTTCGAAACATTCACATATTGCACTTTCATCAGCGGACGACTGGTGACTGTTAATTAAATCAAGTGTCACGAGCCATCGAGTCATGAAACTCGTGATTTATCGAAAATCCCCCGATCGACGGGGTTTCGGTTCGCGTATGACGTATATGTGTTTAGTATACATCGAAAATTCGTGCTGTACCCGCGATGATTACGCAGATAACGGTAGCTTTTAGTGCAGATTTTTTATTTTTTAAGTTTTTTTTCTTTGTAATCTATATTCACAATGCGCTTAGCGAGACCTTCGCGTTCCAGCATTAAAATTTGATTCGAAATCTGAGAATAAGGATGAGAATTAACATGAAACGTAAACGGAATTTACGAAGTCGAAATTGAGCCTCGTTCCGTTTGTCAATCGCATCCTCGTACGGATTGCGAAACGCGAGAGAAGGAATACTTCGCGAAAGCGAGATTGCACATCGCTTTTGCCCGTATCGGTATGTCTTATCTAACAGAGAGGTGAGAATAAACGTGATCTTAGAAGAGCGGAGATTGCAGATCCTCGTCGTCGTCCTCTTCGTCTTCGTCGATTCCCGGCTCGCCGAGAGCGTGAACGAATTCTGAAATCACAAACAAAAAGGAATTAAGGATATTTTTGCTGCGTAATATCAATTAAACATATCAACCAAAAAATCAGCCAAAAAATCAACCAAAAAATCAGCTAAAAAATCAGTCAGAAAAACTAATATCAGTTGAAAATTTTTGTTGTAAATACGTCCTGAAATCAGTTGTAAAAAACAGAATCATTTAGCTTTCGATGGGTTTTATGCAGTGCAATTACCATATTTTATTGCAATTTTAGATAAATAATTTTTATTTTAAACAAGTAAATGAATCGAAATAAACTTTTGTATGTACATTTGTAAGAGTTTTATTAATATATACAAAAAAATTGATTTAATTTGTACTATCTTGTGCTACTTCGTTATAAAATTTACAAGTATAGTACTACAAAAACCGATTTTACATAAAAATTAAAACAAAATAATTAAATAATAAAAAAATTTCAATAAAGCCCATAGGAATCGACATAGGATGAACGTGCATAAAACTTATATTAACAGAAAATACAATTTAGATGTTTCAACCATCGGTTTAGGTCTTCTTCAGTATGATATTGACATTAAAAAATTATCAATTTCGCTGTACAGTAACCATTAAAACTGTCATATCGAATAATAATTACAAAACGGTATGAATTAAGAAATATATCGTAATATTATAAAGTTCAAGAATAAAAATTACCAAACGTTTCTGTACTTGGCAGAATACTTAAATTGTGAATCGAAAATTACAATTAAAAATATAATATCGATAAGATGACGAAATAGAGAGCGCATCACGCAAGCACAATGTGTACGTAATAAGATGTTGAACTTATAAAAAATTAAATAATGCTTTTGAGGTTTCCACAGTTTGAGGTTTTCTTTCTATACAGAAGTTATACGTATCGTAGATTATCTTCGTGTCCAGATCCATTATTAGAGTGCTAACGTTTCATAAACACTGCAATTCACTTCCTCAGAGCGAGGAGCAGCTTGATACCAATGAACTGCGATGTTGCGAATGCAAACATTGACACTCTAATAATAGATCTGATCATGGAGATAACTCGATATGCATAGCTTCTGTATAAAAGTTAAATAACTTTTAAACCAGTTAGAGAATTGTGCTCAACTTTTATATAGATACTCAGATGTAACACCTATATAATAGAACGATCTATAAACTTTTTATATTTTTGGTAACGCTTTGAGTTGTAGAACATACATCCCTAAATATTTTTTAAAAAAAGAACATATAAAGTCGATTACTCGCATATATCGAAATTTATTTATTATTATAAAAGGAGAAAGTAAAAAGCTATATAACGCGCGCGTCTGATATCTAATATATTAAATATCGAAATAACAAAAGAGATTTTAATTGTTACATAAATTTAATTGTTGCAAAAAAAAGAGGAAAATAGTCGTTCTCTTGTTTCTTCTGTAATCTCTTAAACAACTCCTACCCTTCTATAAAGATATTTTAATTGTTAGATAACATTGCAAAGAAAAGAGAAAAATAGTTGTATTTCGTTTCCTCCATTATTTCTCGAACAATTCTTACTTTTCTGTAAAAAGTTAGATCCTCCTTTTATTTTAGATATGACTCCATCGATCATTTCAAGAATGGATTGTACTGGATTAGAAACTAAAATTTCTTTTTCACCATCTGCTCTTATCTCTATGTTTGCACGAAATCGTGCGATGGCAATACAAGAAATCTTACCGTAGAAATCAATTCGACCGTCCCCGTCTACGTCCACTTCTAGAGCGGTTTACATTAATTCACTTTTTTTATTTACAATTAAACTGTTTTTTTTTCTCCAAATAAAAATAATGAACTACGAGCCAAGCTAGGTCTTTACGTTAAAATATAATAATTATTTCGAATATATAAAAGCAATATTTTTTGTCTTTTCGGATTTATCTACTAAATGATTTTACTAGATAATTCGTTGATGTAAAAGGAAGTATTGAAGGTACACAGATTTGAAGGTAGATTCGAAGGTATTTATTCTGAGATATTTAACGAACTGAATTGTCTCGTATACTTATTATTTTATTCGCTATTGTTGACCGCGATTGGAAATTTAGGAAAATTAAGTGATACATTTCAGACGAAATTAAAATGCGTGTCGAATTCGATGCGTAATATATTCCTATCACGGTCGCTTGTACAGAGAAAATGCGCCTATATCCCTGCAGTAATTCAGTTAATATATCTTTGCTGCGTTGAGCAATGGGATTAATTCGTATCACGAGTGCCGAGAGCGATGCCGAGAAAGATATTACCAATATACCCGCATTATTTCACGTAGAATTTATTGCTACGGAAAGGAATGAAGAGGGCATAACGATCCGTTACGATATCACGCTGGCATTCAAAGACTTTCCCTTCGGATGCTTTTTTGAAATTTTTAAAATTAAAATTTTCACTAATAAGAAAATGTAATTTCCTATTAGAAGTTGTCAATTCCCCATTCTTATGCGCGTGCCGTCTAATAGATAACATAATAGCTTTTAGAATTTTTTATTTCTTTTTAAATCCGAAATTAACATGTATTAAACACTTTGAAACAAACGTAATATTTTGGTTTTCTCAATTGCTGATATTTCTATCTAATAGATAACTGATTAAACAACAAATTTTGATTAACATTTTTGTTTTTCAACAATAGTATTTTTTCAGTTTTTTGTAGATTTTTTTACACTAAAAATGGATATACTTTTTAAAAAAGATCATCCTTCATTTTTTAGTAACTTTGTTTTGAATTTCTTATGTAATAACGTAAATTCATAATATATAGTATAATTATAAGAAATTTAAATTTTTTTACAATATGTATAAAAACAAACGATAATTTAAAGTTTCTTTTATTGTTTATGTACAATTTATGTTTACGTTACAATTTTAAGTTATACATTAAAATAATAAAATTTATTAGCAATATTTAATATCAAACAATTACACTGATTTACAAGATTTCTATTTCTCAACACCTGAATGATGAGTTTTGTGTATTTCACTCTGTAAAGTAAAGGAAAAAAGTTACACATTATTTAAATTTGTAGCTTTTTTAAAAATAAAGATAATTTCTTGATTTCTCGAAATCTTTATAGGATGATAGAATTTTTTTAACCTTACATTCTTTTTCAGCAGTTAAAAATATTGCATTGAAAGAAAAGTTCGTTGCGCTACGAACTTTAAAATTCAAACAGCTGATAACTTTATTAAAAATGAACGAAATTTAAATTAAAAAAAGAGTTTCAAGGTGGTTCTTTAGTGAATCGAGTTACCATAGAAATGTCTCATTTCTTTATATAATGAAGTTGAAGTACTGAACTTGACGTGTGCAACATTCTAGGGTAGGTTAACAATGAAATGAGAGAGGAAAAATGTTGAGAATATAACTTTTAACATATAACTTAGTAACAGATAAGGATCAGAGACGTTCTCTATCTTTGACTAGCTGCACACAAATATTACCATAGACTTCTCTAAAAAACAAAATTATAATAGTTTAAAAGATTACTGTTGAATAGGCAATTTGTCCTATACTGGAGTTTATTTGTTTTGGTTAGATGGCGCTTTTTTCTTTCTACACCTTTGAGAACTTTGTCACGTCTTTACACACATCATGTGTACGTTCTTTAGAGTCTATGGTTTGTGCCTGTCTTGTCTTGTCTTTTTCCTTCTTTGAACCGTTGTATCTCAGACAGTTTCTTAATAAAAGGATATTCATTTATATCTGTAACTAAAGTCTCATTTTTATACTCCATCGATACTACAAGAGATTCTGCCCCCCGCTCTGGAAATATTAACAATTACGATTGCAATGGTCACAAAAAAGTAATAATAAATAGGTGAACGGCCATTCTGGAAAGATATTTACATGCATAAACTTGCATACAAAAACCACGAAAAGGAAACATAATTTTATCTTGTTTTCGTTTGGTGAAAATGCAGCTTTGGATTTACTATGTTTCATACCATATTTCATTAAGATATATACGTATAGTTTTAATATTTTATATAAATTATGCAGATATTTGTAATTTTAAATGGACTCTGATGAGGCAAATTTTCGACACTTTACTAAAAAATCACTTTAAAATTTAAAATATATTCTTTCAAAAGGTTATTATATTTTTTGAGCTTCTATGAATTTGAAAATTTTTACATATATATAAAATTACGAGCTGAACAAAATGGGAAATTTTCTTCTCGCTTTGTGGATCTTCCACGCGCTCAAAAAAACATGCAAAAATTTTCGACTTTCCCCAACACAAAAGCTTGAAGTTTTCCCTTTTTTTCCCTACAAAATAATTTTTAAAAATGTTCCTATTGTTATATTGAGTTATCGGATTAAATAAAAGAAGCATTGTGACTTTGATTGCTCATAATTCCGTTAAAAATCATCGCACCGTAATAAAAAAAACAGATTCTTAAAGGTAAAATTTTGCTCTATTGAATGATATCACATTGCCATTTAAAAAAAGAATATGTAAATATAATACAAATGAAGTAGCGCTACAAGACTCATTATTTAGTTGTTGAGAAACAGAAACTTTATAAATCAGTGTAATTTTTCGAGCTACTTCTCAGCATTATAATAGATAAAAAATAGTTGTTGACTCTGTTCGAAGAAACACAGTCCGATTGGAATATACATATTTTGACGTCATTTAAGCTATTCATTCGACAAACACTCACAATATTATAGCAACGATCATAGTGTAGTTCATAAACTGTAATATCGCCAATTGTGAGACAATTGTCCATCTCGAACATTGCGCAATTTAGTCTAAACTGATTGCGGTAATCAAGAAACTTATGTCGATCGTCCGTTTGTGCGAGATTATCAAATCAATCGAAACCGAGTTTCTCGATGTATACGTTTCGCTGACACTTTCTCTCTCTCTCTCTCTCTCTCTCTCTCTCTCTCTCTCTCGGCGCTCTGAAATTACTTCTTCCTTCGTATCCAGCAATGAATTAACGCTTGGCGGACGCGCAAGAACTAGCGTTTCAACTTACCAATAACATCAAGACTTTTTCAACGCGATAACGATCAAATCATATCTGAATTACTAGCCTCGTCGATCACGTTTTTCGTGTCCCCTGATTTCTTTTATTAGAGCGTAATTAACTGAATGCAATTACATCGTGCGAGAGTAAACCGTATTTCCCTTCTTGTGTGTGTGAGAGCCAATTATTTCTCTAAACACTTCTTTAAACGCGGTTTCCTGCTCCTATTATTGCGAAAAAAATACAAACACGGCGTGATAATTAAGATCGCAAACCCAAAAGAGTTTTTACGAGAGAAAACAAACGCGTAACGTGAAATTCTTTTTACTCGCATTTCCCGGAGCAGCCGTGGTAGTCTAATTGTATTTTAAAACCCAGAGCACACAGGAGAATAAAAGGCACCCAATGGCACATAGGAAGACGTAAAGCAATAAGACATATAAGCAGTAAACGAATCAGCCAATCATAGTAGTAAACGTAAGACAATACACTATTAAAAATAAAATGTTAATTTTAACTTAAAGACATGGTCGACTTTCTGAGACATGTAAAAATGTTAAAATTAAGATTTTAATATTTTTGCATGTCTCAGAGTCCACCATACGTTTTTAATCTCGCAGCACCACTTTACGCCTTTTATTACTTTTTCTCAAAATTCTTATTCAGATTTAAATATGTAAAAATAAATAAAATACAATCCAGTTTTTATTATAGTAAAAACTTATTGTTAAGGATTTCACAAGTGTACAAGAATTTTTTCAGATTTTTAGTCCGAATTATAAAAAATATATGCTATTTCTCTCAACAGCCCAAAGTGTAAGCTATGATCGAAAATTTCGGAGTGATGCTGGAGGATTAAGTTAAAATTAAGGTTTTTTTTAGCAGTATAACGTAAACAGTAACAAATAAAAAAAATGTTGATTTGCTTACAGCTTACTTTTTATCTATTTCTTATTCTATGTGTCACTGTCTTTAGCTGTTTATTAACATCGGCGTGCTTGCAGGCGTCCGCATGTATCCGACCGATCGAAATGTCATTCTTCAAATATCGAACACAAAGCATTGACGTTCGAGCTGCTCGGGAAGCGACGCGACAAACACGAGATATTGTACATTATTGCGATCCACAAATCTGCAAAGCGGTCAGCGCAACTGTAGTATTGCGATTAATACCTGGTGTCTGAGATGTATGTCATGATTTGCAACGGATTTGGTTACAAATTGCATTAATAAATACAAATTTGCCAATGCATTTCGGAGAATCGTGCAATTTGTAATAACGCGAACTCTGTTAAAGCAAATTTGTTCTCTATTAACTCGGAAATAATTATCTAATTTTTTATTGCATAAACGATCAATACTCCAATTCAAAGTTACTATTATTAACTACTATTGTATGTTACTGATTGTTCTACAATTTTATTAATATTCGAGAGTATTGCGTATACAGATTTATTTGATATTTTCTAAAAAAATATTAGGAGAAATAAAATAACAGGGGTATGGATTATGGAACTTCATTTCTTCGTTGTTAAGGTATAAAAATTACTTCAGGTGGTTATTTCCCAAATAATAAAATGTCATCATTATAATGGTTATTTAAGGTCATTTTTCATTATTTGATGTCAGTGGGCTAACGACGTAAAATAAATGTAACATTCGTTATGACATATTATCCATTTAATCATCATTTTTATGAATAAATAATAGATAACATTATCAATTACTATTTTTATTAATTAAGCAATAATTGCAAGTAAATAAGTATATGTAGATTTTATTTTATTTATTTTCCTAGTAGTACAATTTATTGGCGCAATACTGACGCAGTAATCCCCAATGCATGCCAATGTTTAAATAATTTATCACCAATGAATTATTCTACGAAGGTTGTAAGTGCTTATTTCTTAAGCAAGAAAAATATTAATTAACATTGTTAATCCATTATTTATTGATTATAGTTATTTATTCCACAGAATAATAAATTGTATCTTAGCTTACATTATGTATTGTGTAAGATTACGTATGTCATGACGAGAAACATACATCATTTTACACAATACATAATATAAGCTAAGATACAATTTATTTTTCTGTATCACGTCATAATTTGAAGAGGGCTTCTTCTTGACGTCTTTTGTGATTTTATTGATATAACACATTATATTGACACAGACGTTATATTGATGATCCTTGCTACTTAGGTCTTAAGTTAAAGTAAACTCGGCTTTAATTGATTCTATAGATTAGCCATTGATTTTGGAAAATACAATGAATTTCTTTGAAATCTATGGAAATCATCAATTTATTACTCGTTAATTGATGTTTAGATAATAGTTGATACGTTTTTGATAAGATCGGCAATCTTAAGGTAATAACTGTGGAATAATCGGTATTGATGACAGGTGTGTCTAGACGTGGCGTTTATGATAGCACAGATAATTCAGCCGTTGCTTGCTTTATTTGTGCAAACACTCGCACAAATGCGGGCGATGTGCTGACGTTTTCGCGGTGGGAAATATAATCGTGGGATGGCACGGCTAAAGACGCATGGTCCAGATTTGCGATGAGTGTGTGTCAACAACGTGGAATTAGGAAATTTAAGTCTTTGTGGAATAACAAAGAGCAGGTACGAGCAAATAATAATTCAGGGAAAAATTATGATACTTATAATATAAAAGATATTTTCTCCTTTCTTAAAAATAATGTGATATATGTCAGGCAAAAAAATCTTTAAAATGTTCTTTATATAAGAAAAAAGTGTACGTTTGTACACAGTACACAAATAAATTTCTCTATCTGATATATACTGTATAAAACAATGCGATATATTTCAGTCAGAAAAATCTTAAAAATATTTGTATGGAAACAGTATTTACGGAGCATGATCATTTAGCTTAACTAGATAAATCTGATTAATTTTCAACAATGAGCTCAAATCAGCTATCAATTTTAATTTTATAAAGTACTACTTAATTAGCTAGTAAGCTCGTTTATTTCGAAATAGTAGATATTCATAATATTATCTCGAAATAGAAATTAAAATTCGAGTACTTTTGTAAAATTCCGAAACCGCACTAGTTTATTTGTGCAATTACGATTTACAATATCAATTAACAACACATGATTAACAAATAAAATTCTGTTCACCTTTATTGCGTGAAAAGACAGTTAAAAATAAAACTTTCCACGTTAAATAGAAATTTATCCGTATAATGCCGAGCTCTGCTATGAAGTTACGCTTCTCGAGAATCAATTGGCCTTAGGTATGCCAATTTAGATGGAAATGGCCTACTTTAGCTTTTATGGCTAAAGTTTCTCTTATCGAAAGTATTTCAAAGAGGGTGAGAGGGGGGGGGGAGAGAGAGAGAGAGAGAGAGAGAGAGAAAGGGAACGAGGGAAAAAGACAGAAGGAACGCCAACGCACGTTATATCCGTGTAATCACGTCACATTCATCGTAATGGACTATCGAGGAATGTGTTAAATATTTAAGACTTACTCTCTTCCTCAGAAAGATCCTCTCCCAGACACTGCAGCACCGCCCTAAGGTCCGACGCAGTGATGTACCCACGATTATGTTTGTCGAACACCTGTATACAACAAGCAAATAAAAAAATCCAATTAAATCCATGGCGGAGCAAATCTTTGCACTGAGAGAAAAGTCTTGATATTTGTGATTATATATATATATATAAAACTCAGAATAAAATAATTATAGTTAGGAGCTCCATTTTTATGGTTATTACATATATAAATTAACAATTTTTGTCTGTTGTAGTTTTTCTGTAAAGTTGATAGTATTTGAGTAAAAAATTATTGAAGACCAATATTCACAGCAATTTTTAGTAATTAATATCTCGTTAACTATTACGAAAATTGCAAAATGATAGAGGACTCAGTTTAGTCCGCTCTATCTTGCTATGATATTCTGATGCGCTAATTTCCAGACATCCAGTATATATATGCTATAATGCTATTTATAATAATTACATTTAGTTATTATTTATAGTTCTATAAAAAAATATATAGTTGACACAGAAAATGACTATAAATTATAATTATGATAATTGCAATAATTTTTTTGTATGCGCTTTGAATAAAGATGTACCTATATAAAAAAAAAACGGAAATGACAAATGGCGCAAAACTGTGATGCATCATCAGTAATTTCTATTGACGATTTCTTCAAAATATATAATCGAAATAATCGCTAAACGCGACGAGAAAAACCGACGCCAAGTTTGTTATTTCATCTCTCGCTCCGTCGCTGGATTTCTCCCGCGATCGCATAATGACTCCCAGGGGAACAAAAATAAATATTATTTTTCTTTTTTTCTCAGAAAAATTATCCCTCCTCGAAGCTCGCCCTCTCCCGTTTACAAAGACATTTCGCTTTTGTTTCCGCTAATTAGTAAGTAGAAACGTTTTGATGAACATTAATTTTTCCAGGAAAGAAAACCGAAGTGAAACAGAGACAAAGTAGCTGACAAGGAAACAATTATTCTACCTTATTATTTATTGCACACAACGTTCAATTCGAATAGCACAATTTGTAAATCGATCGAAGCGAGCAGACGCAAAATCGAATTACCCAGATCTTTCACGAAATAGAATTGGAATTGAGATGCTGAACCAGGAAATTGTTCTCTGAGAAACATTTGCGTCCGACAGCAATACAATCAATTATGTTGCTACCTGCAACAGTATTTCGTTCGATGACATTCTATTGAGATACCGAGTGAAGCATCGTGGAAAACGTCATACTCTGAGAAAAGGATCATTCATAAAGATCTTTGCTTCCCGTTCTCATCACGATCGTGATCGTAGAGGATTACGAGAGAGCAGTTTGGCATTTAACAGTGGGAGACAATGCAGAGACGTCTGCCAATGCAAACAATATTGCTACTACTGACTCACTCGCACGAGCATCACCAACTTGTTTCACTCGGCTTGATTCAATTCGGTTACACTAATGAGTAGTTATTACAACTACCGTGGCGGGCTTAGAAATGCATTGCCGAACTCCATTCGCAATCTCCTCTGTCCGATGTCAGTCGAATGGCGTGTCTTTTGTCCGTCCGCGAATCCGAATTCCGCATCAAAGAGGCTTACCTTGTGTATCGAACCGCTGCTTTTCGAGTGTATTCCGAGAAGATTGATTTCGCGGTGCGTGTACTTTTCATAAGTTGCACAATTGTATAAAATTTGATTTTTTTTCGTATTGTGATATTCAAATTTATACAGGATCACCAATCATAATACGAAAAGAAAAAAAAGAGAAGAAAGATTGAAAAAACAAATCGAGATTATATAACAAAATTTTTCATTCAAGGTTTTATTTTTTTAAGATTGATTTCAAAAATTTGAAAATTCTACATCTCTTCTTTTCTATATTTAGAAGTATACACAAACTTCATATTACACGCTACTTTAACATGATGACAATTAGATATGATAAAATGTAAAATGAAAAATCGAAAATGTAATATAAATTATTGAATCATGTACAAAAAATATTAAAAATTTAATAATAATAAATTAATTTATAAACCACTGTATGAACACATTAAATAAGTAAGGAAAGGGTTAATACGGTTAAGGTCAGATCTTGGCCTAATAATATTTATATCGTTCCCTCATTTTTAAAATTATTGCAACTAAAAAAAATTTACAATATAATATATTATAGGATCGTATATATGATAACACAAACTATGGAAATCAATGTCTTAAACGGTCTAGCTGGATCTTAAATGATTGTATGATTCTGTGTGAATTTATATACTACGTATATGTAATCCTTTGAAACGCGCACCGAAATAATTTAAAAAAAAATTTAATTTTTCAAAAAAGGGAAAATTGTTTTTGATTTAATAAAAAATTATTGACTACTCAAACAGTATCGGCAAAAAGAATACATTCTTAGAAACATAATTAAATATAATTTAAATTGTTTTTGTTTCACAGTCAAATTAAAGTAAAAAAACTATTTTTTTCAGTTGTGACAATTCTGATATTCTATAAAATTATGACAATTCTGAAATAATTCATCAAAAGTAATATAATTCGAACTATCATCAACAGCTTATATTTGCCTTAATCAGCTAAAGTGACTAAATTCAAAATAAAACAGTTTCTTCTTCAAACTTCAATCATCAAACTCTAAACGTTCTCTTATTTAAGATTACTTTAGCTGATTAAGGTAAATATAAACTGTTGGTGATACTTCAAGTTATATTACTTTTGACGAATTAGTTCAGATTTGTCATAATTTTAGGATATTAGAATTGTTACAACTGAAAAAGGTAGAATATATTTTTTTGCTGATATTATTAGAGTAGTCAATAATTTTCTGTTAAATTAAAAACGGGTTTCCCTTTCTTAAAAAACTAAATTTTTTTAGTTGCAATAATTTTTAAAGTGAGGGAACGATATAAATATTATTAGATACCCCAAGATCTACTGGCCTTAACCGTATTTTAGCGTTTCTTTACTTAAAAGCCCTTTCTTTACTTATTTAATGTATTCATTTAGCGGTTTTTTTTATTATTATTAAATTTTTAATATTTTGTACATGATTCAATAATTTATATTACATTTTCAATTTTTCATTTTACATTTTATTCTCATTTTACATTGTACTCTCTATTTTATTTACAAAAATGACATTAACCCAAAATGTGTCACTCTTGTAGAAGGTATTACAATTTTTTTTTTAATCTTATAGAACAATAAGTGTTATTTGATGGACCATAAAGTTAGTTTATCTTTGATAATTAATAGCGTAATCTTTATATCTAATTTATTCATAGTAATGACATGAAAGTTACATTTTCTGAGCTGTGTCACTTTTGAAATAAAGGAATGATATGTAAATTCTAAATACATCTTTCGAATCTCGTCTGTAACTAATGATACTAAGCTTCTTAAAATGCTAAAAAGAATTTAATGAATAATATAGCATTTTTCGCAATAAGTTCTTTTAAGTATTTTAAGATGCTTATTAGTGTCATTAAATTGATCAATTTAATCTATGATATCTTATTATTTCAACTTCAGTTTATAATTGTGTTTCGAGTCTGACAGTAAGCAGTGCGCAGTTTGTATTATTAAAAGATGTATTTATAGAATTTACATATAAATGTTATTAGGTATCATGATTTAGCCTTGACTATATTTTTTGGTCCTTTTCTTATTTAATTAATTTACTTAAAAACATTTTTTTACATCAAATATGTTATCAATTGTAATTTACAATATTTTCTATTAAACTATCATTTCTTTAAGTGTTAAATGTTTTATATTTTGATATTCATTTCATATTTTGATTCGAGTTAAATTCGAAGATCTCTAAAGATTATTACGCAAACTTAAATGCAAACAAAGTATCTTCTATGTTTTAATTAATTCAAATTTGATTTCCTCGGAAAATTTTATTGTCTATAAATTATATTGTTATATAATTTTAACTTCTATCAGAAGTAATCACTCATTCTTCCGGTTTGTATTATAAATATAAAATATATTAAAAATAAAATTATCTAAAATCTAAAATATACAAAAGCCTGAGAGAAAATGTGTATACAAGTATTAAATATTTAAAATCAATTTCTATCTCGCATAATTTGGACTCCGTAACGCGCAATTGCAGTTATTACCTCGTATAGAAAATCAACGCTCTATAAATCATTCGAGGTACTATTTGCACGCGCGATATCTTTATGTATTGTACTTATGTATTGCGATAAAACGAGCTAAGTGCCATGCTAAGGTATATTTTCGCAGCGCGGAAACTCGGCAGATAGGTAGATATTTGTCACTTTTCCTCGGTGGAAATCACCGGAGTAACTCCGTTTCCGACGAAAGTCAGAAGGGAAAGTGCTGCGCCTCCGAGGAAATGGGAAATAGAAGCTTGGAAAGAAATGCTGTCGCCGAGGAGAATCGCCCTAAGTGACATCTTGCCGTTGTCACGATCTCAATCATCTCGGTTCTTCAATGCCTATTCTACAATAGAATCGCAAGCCGTAAGTCGTAAGAAATTATCCAATCATAGTCGAATATGAGAAAAATAATCGACTATGATTGGTCAATTTCTTAAGGCTTACAATCTTATTATAGAACGGACATAACGCGGCGACCGTAGGAAATTACAATCGGACGATCGTTACAGTAATTAGTAAATTATTTAGTCCAGCGGACCATCCGATCGATCATTCCGATTGATCAATATTGTGGTCTGTTTACACTGTTCTAGGACTGAACATTCGCAGAAATAGCCGCCGTCAATACAATCATCGGAAATAGTTAATTACAATTATAATTGCAATTGTTAAATAATTTAATTAAAGTTATAATTATCAGCGCTCTCTTTAATAAAGTGTCTTATATATATTCTCGATGCCTAGTGTATATTCTCTAATTTAATTGTCGTAAACATTTTCCTATTTGACGACATAAATCGATACTTGCCCCGCGACTAAGAAAGTAATAAACATCGATTAATGATGGATATAATCGATTAGTATTGAATCAGCCATTTTAACTTTTTAAATTTTGGCTTCAGATTTGTGATCAATCCCAAAATCTCTAT